TAATACCTCTCTCGATCTAGAAGCCACACTTCTGGCTATGCAACCAAGGGTGGCGTTCGCCCTCTTGACCACCGCATCACACTGCTGACTCATGTTTAGCCTGCAGTCAACCAGTACCCCGAGGTCCCTTTCACAAGTGCTGCTCTCCAGCCACTTATCACCTAACCTGTACTTATGACAGCTATTCCTATGCCCCAAGTGCAAGACCTGGCACTTACCCACATTGAACGCCATCCTGTTGTCTCCTGCCCACTTCCATAGTCTGTCCAGATCCTTTTTGATCTGGAGTACCTGCTCCTCAGTTGTGGCCACTGCTCCAGTTTTACTGTCATCTGCGAATTTGATCAACAGACTGTTCACCCCTTCTTCCATGTCATTAATGAAAAGATTAAACAGGATCGGCCCCAGGACAGAGCCCTGGGGGACCCCGCTTGTCACTGGCCACCATCCCAATGATTCCCTGTTAATGGTTACCTTAGAAGAGGAGAGGAGAGGACTGGAGAGTTTAGAGGGGGAAGCTACGATGCTCCTGCTGTCTTTTCCCCAGCTCCCAGAAGGCGAGAACAATAGATCCAGCAGCCTTTTCCCATCCTGACCATTGAAAAGAATGTGATGTACTTCTGATGTGCATACTGGTGAGTTTCCAGATAGTTGCTCCTCACATCACCTCTGGCATGCTAACTTTTGCAAGAGTGAGCACCACTGAAGGCAATGTAATTTACTCACAAATGAATTTGTATATCAGGGTCTTTTTGAGTGGTTGGTCCTCACCCAGCACTTGAAGCAATGTGAGGAAATATAGGTACGTCCTCCTTGCACTGCCATCCCCACAGAAGTCATTTCCCCACAAACAATATCACAAAATTAGCACACACTGAAATATATACCACAGAAAATAATGCAATGTGTAAAAAGCTGTGATAAAGCTGGTCTGAACAAAAGCCAGGGTATAATTCTAGAAAGACATGAGGACATCAGTTTGGATTGAGTGTCATGGGACATGTGAGTCAGGCATTACAATGCCAGTAACATTCCTAGCGTGTAGATTCTTTCCCTCACACACATACTGCAAACCTAAGCAGACTGTGTCCCTATTTCATGCAAGTCCTTGCTCAACCAATATCTTACTGTTATACATAAGTCCAGTCTCTCTCACCCAGTTCTCAAATTCCAGCAGTTTTGCCCTTCTTTCCTGTGGACTTTGAATTCTTTCCTTCTCTCTTGTTCACTCAGTTTCTCTGATTTTCTGCTCTCTGGCTTGAGATGTTAGCTATTTTCCATCCTTAACTTGTCCTAACCTTTCACCTTTGCCCAGAATTCCTTTTCCTAAGCTCTTTCCCTGTCTTTCAGCTGAGTGTTCCACAAATCATTTTTCCTTCATCCTCTGCAGATATCCTGACTCAGTAAGTTCAACCAACATTTTTTTTCTTGAGCTGCCTGTAGCATCTAAACTTTTAAGCAGTTGGCATTCACCTGAACATGTAAGGGCTTACATGTAGAAGGATGAGGCCATACATGTTGGTTCCACCAACATATGTAACTCTTGCCATGCTGACCCCTCATCTGACCTTGCCATGTTAATCAGTACTGTCTGGATGGGAGCTGTACTCACGTTCGCTTGACCACTAGTAAAATTCCCCACAAGGAATCCTGGTGTAGCAGTTTCCACCTGAAATGCCATGCAAGTTTTGCTGTAACAAAGCGATAACTTGCTGCAGTTGCAAGGAAGCTGTAACAAAGGGGAAATGGCATATTTCTAAAATACATATATAAAAGGGGGGGGGAACAGACTTGTACATGCTTGTGTTGTTTTATAAAACTGCAAAATTACAAAACAGCAAGCAAGAAAGCTTGTTCTATTTAGGTTAATGTAATTTTATACCCAGGGGCACTATTTTACCAAATGCCCCCTGCATTTGCAAAGGAGCACCATAAACATAAGAAGACTCAAACTGGGTAAGAAATGCTAATTAAATTTCTTGTGTAGCAGCTGAGCAAGATAGGTCAACCTCCATGGGAGCTATCTGAGACCTATTAAGAAATTGTTCTATCTCTCTCTCTTGCTCTCGCCCTCTCTCTCTCTCTGCTTTCAAGAGCCAAACTGAATGATGTTGTTCTTACAGTACTCTTGCTAAATACCTTACCCTGAAATACAGTTGTGACAGGAAACATAACTTCAAATGTTCATTTTGGGACGGGGGAATATCCTGAAACATTTACAAGGATCAAAATGTTGGAATAAGCAAAGCAAAGCAAAATAGAAGCTAAACTTCAAATACTCCACTGAGAGAAAATTCATGCTAAGATATATCAGATTTTCAAGCATGTCTTTCCTCTAAAGAATTCAGCTTGATTCACATGGTCCTTCCCTAGCTGTTTTATCATCACAACAACCCAGTGAGGTAGTGAGGTAGGTCAAGCTGAGCAGAGACATAAGAATATAAGAAAAATTATCCCAATGGACCATTCATTCCAGTACTCCACTCACACAGCAGCAAACCAGCTGTTCAAAGGATCCTTCAACCAGGATGGGGACAAACATTCCACCTGCCCACAGCTCTTCAGGCATACCATCTCTAATATTGGAGATAGCTCATAGCCAACAAGCTCGTAATCATTGATAGCATTCTTCTCCATGAATTTGTCCAATCCTCTTTTAAAGCCATCCAGTACTTCCTGTGACAGTGAATTCCAGAGTTTAACTACATGCTGTATGAAAAAGTACCTTTTTTATCTGCCCTGAATCTTCCACCAATCAGTTTTATAGGGTGATCCCAGTGTCTAGCATTTTGGGAGAGAAAGAGAAATTTCTCCTTATCCACTTTCTCTACACCATGTACAATTTTAAACACTTATATCTATATGTCCCCTTGACACCTTTTCTCTAAGCTAAACAATTCTAGCAGGTGTTACCTTTCCTTATAGGGGAGTTGCTCCAACCTCTTCATTTATTTTCTAATTACACCTAGATGGGATTTGACTTTTTCACAGCAACCATGCATTGGGCCAATATTTTCATCAAGCTGTCCACCTGAACCACAATATCCACTTCTCAATCAGTCACTGCTACCTCAGATTCCATCAGCCTATACCTGAGATTGTGATTTTTCACCCCAACATGCAACGACACTTGTTTAAATTGAACTTTACTGATTCTCACACTTTGGTGAGATCCCTTTGGAAATCCTCACAGTCCCTTTTGATTTTAACCACCTTCGGTAGTTTTGCTTCAGCAGCTAACTTGGCCACTTTATTGTCTGCTCCTGATGTTGTAAGCCGCCCCGAGGCCTTGGCAAGGGGCGGCATAGAAATGTTTTAATAAATAAATAAATAATTCCATTTCATTTATTAGTCCCTTTTTATTCCATGATTGCTTAGTTTGCTTGAGCAACTTTGGTAACAGACTTTGTTAAAAGCCATTTAATAGTCGAAGTAAACAATGTCTCATGGATTGTCCCATCCATGTGCTCACTGATACTCTCGAAGAATTCTTAGAGGTTAGTGAGATATGACTTACCTTTGTGGAAGCCATGTTGATTTTCTTTTCCCCCAGCACAGCTTGTTCCTCTTTGTGCTTACTGATGCTCTGATTCTATAATATCATTCCCCAGATCACATTTTAAAATTGGTTTTACAGAAGGATGCTGAAAATCTGGAGAGAGTTCTGAGGAGAGCAGCAAAAAAGATACAGGGCCTGGAAACTAAATCTTATAACGAGAGGCTGAAAGAACTGAGCATGTTCAACCTTGACAGACTATGAGGTGACATTATAGCATTCTACAGGTCCCTCAAAGGATTTGTTCCTTCCACAGATCATGAACTTCCACAGTTTGGAGAGTGTAGAGCCATTTATCGTGGCTGAGATCCATGAATTTGCATGACATGTTGCATGAATGCAGCAAAATTCAGCATTTGCATCAGCTCTCAGAATATTTCCACAGGCAATTCTAATCAACTTTCTAATGTGGAGAGCTAAATATTTCCAACACATGACATTCTAAAAGAAATATAATTGTTCCTTTTTCTGATGAAATTGGGAACTATATTGGGTTATACTGTTCAAACCAGGCTTTAAATATTTTGTTAATGCAACAACGGTGAAAAGTAGGCAACTAGGTATCATATCACTTGAAATGTGTTTGAGACATCTTGAAATATGAAAATATATAACCACCTTCCTACTTTTTCTATGCTGGTTTTTTTCCTACCACATTCTACAAATGAAAATCCTAGGTTGAATAAGATAGAAGCAAATAAATCATTTTACTTTTTGTTTGGCATTGCTTCTGTCTTCCATAAGACAGCAGTAGAGGAATAAATTAATCCACAGATAAGGGTACGGATCACAATGTGCTCTCTAGTTTAAGCCCACGTAACACTCCCAAGGGAAATGATGGTTCTAATGAATAATGTCAATTCAATTTCAAGTTGCAGTGGAATAAAATGTATTGTTAATAGAATTTTTCTGTTTGTCTTTGTTTTGCATTGCTTAAGTGCACAAAGATAAGTATTTTGGACCAAGAGCCTAGGGATTTAGCCTGTTTGGTTGGAAATCTAATTAAGGGGGGGTACCCCATTCCTGTTAGATGCTTTGGAAATCTTACACACAAAGCTGCTAAATTTTTTTATGATTATTATAATTAGATAATCCTAGAAAAGGATGCCAATTGCTCATTGATAAACTGGATCTCTAACCACTGCTTTAAAAAAGAGTTAACAGAGCAAAAGAATTATTTGCTATTTTCTATATTCTTTCCTACTAATGCTCTAAAGTTAGTGAAAGAATTTTGGTTAATTTCAGCTCTATTTAAAAGCATGTCCATAGCTTTGTGCGCATGCGACAGCTAAACATGAGTAGAAGATGTGGGCACACTGTCATGCCCTACCTCCAGCTTCTGAAGCCCTCAGTCTTTGGTTTTCCTGTGTTGAATTGGAGGGGCAGGGTCTGAAGGGAGGTTCTCCTTCTCTCTCTCTCTCTCTCTCTCTCTCTCTCTCTCTCTCTCTCTCTCTCTCTCTTAATCAAGGTCCTCTGGGCATTTAAAAAAATTAAAAATAAACAAAAGTTAAAAAGTCAAACCTTAATTGTAATTGCAAATGCTATTGCTATTATTCCATACAGAAACATAGCAGTGGCGCAGAATATAAATGGAATATATAAAAGCAGAGTTAAAAAGTATGTTGTTAAAATGGTGGGAAACTAGAAAGATATTCACCTGGTGCCAAAAAGAATACAAAGAATACAATTGTCTGAATATGAGCAATCATCCCCCGCTATACACCCATGATCATGCACACTGCAGGATTCCTCGTTGTGTTAAGATGGTCAGTCATGTTGAAGTAAATGCAAGAAAATGACCCACTCTGAATTAAGGACTGAGGACCATAGATGCTAGGGGTTTAACTTGCATGCATACCTTCAATGTCCACTCCACATGTTTAGTAGCTGAATGTCGGCATGGGGCTCATATGTTTAAGGCATTCATGGAGGTAAGAGGGAACTGCAGATATACCGAAGCATATTCATCTGTTCTTTAAAGAAGAAAGACAGCATGTATGTGTTCACCTCTGCCTACAGCACTGATAGAATTCTCTCAGCAGTTTCTTCCCCTGCACTAGGATAGCCTCATTACAGGGGTGTTTTGATGGGAAAAAATGACCAATGGCCATTAGTATGGCTATTTAACATTCTCAGTTCAGTTTTGATATGTATTTATTAACATTTGCAGTGTTTTTCCTATATCTGACACACAGAACTGAAAAGAAGAATTTGAAACTGCTGGATTCATCCATATAAGCCCAGGTCTACAGTTCTTAAAAGTCTGGGTTTTAATCCTTATCAATTCAGCCATGTTTGTGGTACTGAATCAGGCTTCCATCTCTCTCATGGGTGTTTTATCTTGAATAGTTGCATGGGAAGCAAGTTCAGGATAGCCTTCCCATGTTGGCAATAGTTGTGGACCTGTAGCTGCAAGTAGGCTGAGAGGATCTTGCCTTCTATTTGTTTTATTTTACAAACAAATAATTAAAAGCAGCTTTAATTCATCTTTAAAAGTCTGTAATTCAGTCAAACTCTCTGCTAATTTTTTGGTGGCCCATCAAACTTCTAGGGTGACTGTGGGCCTGAATACTTGTACCTGTTGAATGTAGCTGGTGCAGATGGGTTAAAAAAATATTTCAGTTCATTTTTGTTAGGATTGGCCAACATTCATAAATTTCTTCATATCTGGGAATCAAAGAACCTTAGATTTAGAATATTTGAATGTGGAGAAAGTCACCAATATTTCCCCTGTTATCACAGGTATCTATACAATTTAAAGACTGGTCTGCCATATGCTGCTGCCACTGTTCAGCTTTCCAAGGAATTGCAATTGGCCTCCATCCCACAAAAAACAAAACGTTGAAATAGTCCACATTTGCTGCCTGTGAATGGACTGATGCATTCAGGAGAGGTGTCTTTGGCTCATTCATTAAAAAAAGGGTTGAATCAGCACATATTAAGGCACAGCATGAGCTTGCAGTAAACTCATTCACAAGATTGATCAAAGGCAACAGGATTGTACCAGAGCCTTCCAGGAAACTATTGGCTTTAAGACAAAAAAGCGTAAAACTAGTTTAAAAAATATTACTTTTTCCCCAGGCTTTTAATTGCTATTTGAATTTCCAGGGAAGGTAGTTTTCAAGGAACGTATTTCATTGCTATAGCCTGTTTTAACTGTCTTAATGTTGCATTGTCATAATCTCGATGGACAGGTATGGACAAACAAAGAGAAATAAAACCAAGATCATTATGCAGAAATTGACTCATTTCTACATCATATATGCCCACAATTTAGATGAGCTTAGATAGCTAGAGAGACAGATGAACAGAAGAATACAGAATATGGCATATCTGAGAAGGTGAGCACAATTCTATGACTCGTTTGCAATCTAATAATGCTGCTGTTTCTAATTTTGCAAAATTGTAAAGTATAAATAAAAGAGGAAATTAGCTAAGCTTGAACAATTGTTTTCTGAGGCAGAACCACAACATGTTGCATTGTGATAATGGCACTTTTATGCTAATTGCCCAAGATGGAGAGAAAATAATTGAGCCTGCATAATTTCTAATTTCTAAATCTGTTAGCCAGCTCTTAATGATCCTTCAGAGATTGGAACTGGCAGACAGATCCTCGGAGTGCTCCTGGAGCACAGGACCCATTAAAGCATGCTGGTTTGAGTGCTATACAAAGTGCTTTGAAAATTATTCAGCACTAGCCAAGGACTCCCAAAATAGCTCTCAGAAAATAATGGCTTCTCAGCACCTCTTGCCTATAAGGAACAAATATACTATGGTTATTAAAAGTGATTAACACAAAAGACACTTTCTTGAATTTAACTGCTACAAACAACTATGTCGGCCTCTTTCTTATTAATAAAGCAAGAGATAACAGAACTTCCAGTGTTGATTCAGCAAAACATTCCATTTACTTGTTGTAGAAGCCAGTTATTTATTTTTAATGAGAGTAAGCAATGTCCAGTGGTAAACTAATCTAAATGTGAACATGTACCCTGGTGAGTACTAACCATAGTCCTTCAAGGTAGCTCCTCAACAGAACTCTACTTCAACCTATAGAAATGAATGGAATAGTGGAGCTGAGTGGACAGATTACAAGGGGTTTTCAAATAACACTTATTTCCCCACCTCTAAAACAGAGACTGTCCTTGGAAGGAAGTTCACATTCTTCAAAGAACAATGGGTGGTGAGTTAAGAACTTAAGAAAGGCCATGCTGGGTCAGACCAGTGGCCCATCCAGTTCAGCATTCAGGGTCTATCGAGCAGGATAGGTGTAAGAATTCCACCTGCTCAAGCTCTTCAGCAACTGATGCAGGTATACCACCCTTGATAAAGGAGGCAGCACTAATTATGTTGCACATACTAGTCAACAGAGGCCTGTAGTAATATGCACACATTTAGTGGAGCAGAGTAGAGTCAAACCTTTTGGCTTTGCCAGACTCAGATGAAAGTTCAGAGATTTTTGTCAGAGATCCAAAAAAGGGAAAGGAAAAGGGAGTCTCTGGTGGCTCCATGAAAGTGCGTGGCTAAATGCACCCTGCAAAGTTGCAAGACACTGCCCACAGAGTCAACACAGGGCATTGATGGTCACTCACCAGCTTGTTATATTTCATCTCACTGAATGTAGATGCACCCCTCTTGCTCTTACCTAATAGGGACCATCACCTGCCTCACGTTTTGGCAACCTCATTGCCAAGGTTGAAAGCAAAATGATTCTCTGAGTTACCAGTTCAGCTAATCTAAATGAAGAGCTTCAAAAGAATGCATGGCTGATTTGCTTAGAAAATGTGAGTTATCTTTAACCCTGTCATGGAATACATGGAACATGGAGTTGTAGATCTAATACCGACAATTTAAAAAATCAAGTATATTTGTTCCCAATGGAAAGTTCATTGCAAAGATGAACAAATATGGTTTAGGTTGGTTTAGGAAAGCCTCTATAAGGTGGGGAGGGGTGTCTTCATAAAAGAAGAGGATTTCAAGCTTCCTGCTTTCAAAGAACATTTCCTTTGATTTGTCATCTAAAGGACCGATATGGAGAATGCCATATTATGCAGGGTACAATTTCTTGCTGGAGCTGATAGGAACTGAAGTCCAAAACATCTGAAGATCATGACCCTCCCTTCTTATAGTTCATCTTTAAACAAAACTTGGTCTTGACACCCATTCAGGCAAAGGAGCCTTTCAAGCAAAAGACTACCTTCTATGACATAGAACAAATGGCCGCAATACAAATGGGCAATGTAGATATGCTTCATCATTTTGTAGCTGGTATTTTGCTTGTCCTTACAACCATCATTGCATCCCAATGAATGAAGGAACAGAAGCTGTCTTTGAATGTGTTGTCCATAAAAAAACTGAATGAAGCGAGTTCTATAGGCAGGCACAACAAATGGGGAGAAGTGGGAATATAGTTATGTCCTTTCTTGAGGAAGCTTGTATGCGCCTACACGATGGAACCATAGCTCATTGAGAGGGTCTTGGGATTTCCAGATAGGGCTGAAAAAACTCTTTCAAAGCCTAATCAGCGCTGCCAGTCAGTGTGGAGAACACAAATTTAAATGGATATATAAGACCCTTGATAAACTGCAGTTTGAAAACCATAGACATGAAGTTTGTAGCTTAGTGAGAGAGGAGTAGTGTGGATGGTGTTTACCAAAAAAATAAATTAATCACTCCTGCCGGGATTCAATTTGATGGTATTACAAATCAGCATATGAATTATAACATGATAAAGTTAATGGGTTTTATCTTTCCTCAATTTAATTACCTGAAAACACCATTGAAGGTGTCTCTGACTAAGGTTTCTCACTGTATAATTTCTGTAACCATAAATAGACCTGCAGATGGTTACAACTGTTCTGTGTTCACACCTTGACAGGCGTTGGCTCTTTTTAATTATGTCAAGGATAACTTCATTGGCAGACGAGGCTTTCAACAAACCATTGCCATGGGGAGAGACAGTGCAGATAATGTGGGCTACCCTCAAGATGTTGGAGATATACACTGTTGCAATGTGTTCCTAAACTGTACTTCAGGGTATGACTGCTGAGAGGCAGATGGGCAGAGTAAGCATGCAGAGTTGAGATTCAGGGAAGAAATAATGGTCAAGGAGCACAAAATAAAAGCAAACCATAGAACTGTGTTTCAGCTTATTGTGATACGACATCTCCTCCCAACTTCTGGTTAAAATAGAAGCAATTTTCACCTTTCTAAATCATAGATAGATCAATTAGTCCTGGTCATCTTTCATCATGTTTTGAAGTGTCAGATTGTGGCAGAATGTCATGTTACTGAAATCATCAGGTTGCCACTGAAAGGGATGTGCTAACAAGAGCCACTCCTGCATGCTATGGTATACCTGAAAAGGGTTGGTATGGTGACCATGTGTCCTCTTTTATACAGCAGTCCTCAGTTGGAAGGACTGCCAGCAGACCATTGCTACAGGAAGCTGTCCTCTATTTAAGGACTGCCCTGTTCTCTTTAAAGTTAAATAACTATAAGAATTGTTGCCTAGCCACAGTTAACACTTGGACAGAGGAGTGATCAGGTATGCATCCAGGTAACCTGATCACAGTCTTCCATCCTAAAATGTGATCTACTGTTATTTCCATTTAATTTATAATATTCATTTCTGCATTTGAATTAATACATATGAAGATTCTGGACAAATCTCTGTCTTCTTCTCCTTCTCCTTCTCATTGATTCATTTCCTACTTTTTGGGAGCAAAATTATCAGCATCCAAAGATATCACAACAGTACAGAACACTGCCATGTCTGACATACCTAGAAAACAGGAGACATAGCCCACTTTTCTACATCTTGAATAAAGTTCAGCTAATACTCAGCACTTCACAGAAATTCAACAAAAAGAATACCCTGTCTATAAGAAAAAGAAAAATAGGCAACACCTTCGCTTCCCATATGGAACTAAGTGAATGGTGTGATTAAGAATTAAAAACAGCAGCACAAAAGATTATTTGGCTTCCAATCCAGACAATGTAAAATGCATTGGCTTTGCTGTGGAATATTTCATTAAAAGCAGCTTGATAATTAGTTTTACAGCAGACAAAAAAGTGTAATTGCTTTAACATAATTAGTCTGTCTTTTTATAATGCAGTGATGCAGAGTTCTGTCAAACCATAATAAGATCAAAATAGATTTTCGCTCTTCCCTTGCCTGCAGTAAAGATTTTTTTAAACTACAAAACATCATCTTTGGTGTCTCCTGCTGTGCTCCTACCTATTAGAGTGGCTTCTGAATTTCTGCTAAGGTGAATTTTTTAAAGCCCCAGCTTGGGCAAAGATCAGAGGACTTTTAAGGGATGTGCATGCTCCTTCAGCAGCCGAGTGGCTCAAAGGTGATCACAAGGCTCTAAGAACATTCGTTTTCTGAAATTCAGGGAATGATCCCTTCTCCCACAAAGGCTGATTTCCACTGTGTAGTGCAGCAACCTCTGATCATAAGTGGACAAAGCCAGGCATTGGATTCATTGAGCTCCTTTTTAGGCACTAAAATCCTGTGGGGCTTTGGACCACAAGCAGGAGCAGAAATTGTTCATGGAAACATTGTGGTCCATTCGCTTTGCAAAATTATTCAGTGATCCAGTCAGGATCCAGACAGACAGGATGAGGAGCCTATGGTCACCATGGCATTCAGATAAGCTACTGGGCCAAGTTTAAGGTCCCCAGGCAGCTTAGGACAGGGTTACCTTAGAGACTGGTTTTCCCCTTCTGTTTCCACCCAGTCTTTCAAATCTTCATGAACAGCAGCAGTGCTAGAAAGGGCACAGATCCAGAGCTCAGGTCTACAGGACAAAACAAAGCAAAGGCAAGTTTAATTATACCAATTTACATATGCTCTGCTATCTCTCTGTATTTGTCTTTAAAGTCAGCTGCTTCCCAAGGTTGCCTCTATTTTTGCAAAAATAAATGAATAGACAAGGATAAAATGCATTGGACATCAAGGGGAAAAAGAAACAGAGTCTTGGGGAGAAAGATTCAAGAGCAGGCAGCAGGAGGTGCAGTATATGTGAGAAAAGAGCCAGGGCAGTCACATTCAGCAGAAGTCAACAGGGCACCTGTACCTTTATTTCAGCAAGTGCCCAGGGACAGCCAGGTGGTGGGGCAGGTGATCTCCCAGAGATTCAGAATTCCAAATAAAAGGTTTGGGGCTTCAGCCCTCAAAGGCCACTGCCTTACACCACCTCTACTCTTCTGACAGTGCAGCAGGCTTCTTCAGGAGTACCTGCAAGAGAATTTTTAGTATTGGAGCACCTGCCCTCTGGAACATGCTCCCCATTGACAGGATGCTGACATCTTTAGTTTGATCATTAGATCAAAGATCAAAGTCTGTTCATGGCTCACCTCTTTGTGCAGACTGCCCCGAAGGTTGACCCAATCAGTAAGGTTATAATGGACCAGTGATTATTCTTCTGTCAGTTCTGATGTGTTCAGGATTTCTGTATACTGAGAAAAGGGAAGCTTGTCTATGTATTGCAGGTGTGGAAAAGATATTAGTGTTTTGCTTCCAGGAAAGTGTGGAATACAATTTCTAGTAAAATATGAATGCAAATGTAATATTCACATTTTATAAACATAAAATACAAATAATAATGTTCATTATTGTTGTACATTATTGACTTTGTGTGAGCCTACACAGATATATCATATGCAAGTTTAGTTGCAGGGGCAAAGTAAGAGACCCTCTACAGATAGCTTTCTCCGGTGCCCATCATGACCTTGATCCAACCCAGCTAAGATGGAGCTTAAGGGTTTATTTTAGAAGCTTATTTGATTGTCCTGCTTTCATGGATTTTCAAAAAGAATAGATTACTGTGTGCCATTATGTATAAGATTTTCTTGTAAGATAGCAGGGGTCAGCTCCCTTGCGATGTTGCCATATTTTTATTTATTTATTTTGTTTTATACAAACTGCTCCAGAGGATTTTCTTGGCGAGTTTTCCCAGGGTGGGTCACCAGGTCTTTCTTCAGCTATTCCCATTTCTCCGGGCTTGGGACCAGCACACACACATGTGATGCCAGGTGTGAATGGCTGAGTTTATTTATAACAAAGAAGAAATTAGTTTGCAAAATGAAAATCAATCTTTTGTTTAGTGAGAAGAGTCCCCCCCCCCACAAAAATAATCAGGCATTCTATATGTTATAAAATTGTTTGGATGGAGTCTTATTCTTAGTGATAACACCATAAGACTTTCTTTAAGAAGCAAATCAAAGGCACAGTCCTCGGGGACAGCGGTGGTCGACACTTCCCACGATTATGCACTGTCATGACCAATACTTGGGGATTATAGAAGCTGTAGTCCTACACATCTGCTGAGCTGTTCTGCACAAGATACACTGAAATTAATGGGGGCATTCTCGTTCAAATCCAATTCATTATAATGAATCTTGTGTGGAATATTTTTTCCAGTGAATAGTGAACATAGGAAGGGGAAAAGCATCCTTAAGTATATTTTCAGACTCAGTCAGCAGCTTCTGGTAAACTCCCACTTTGTGGCTTATAACTTTGGCAGAATGTCTAGATAAATGCATGCATTTAGTGGGATTGAACATTATACAGTGCTGTTATTTAAAAGAAGGAATACATTTTGTTTTTAAATGATTCTATTTTATTTTTAGTTTTAGTTTTCCCTGTACATGATTCTCCCAGGCCAGAAATGCTCCATGTAGCTGGTATATTATATTTCCTCTACTGCAGTGGAAAGTTGATCCAGAGGTGGAACTGTCCATGTTTAGAAACCACAGAAAACATAATTAGTAGCACTGCAGAATGCTCATTTCTCTAAAGCCAAGCCAATTCCATGCAACGATGCTAAGTTCAGTGGTTTTCTTGGCGGGGGGGGGGGGGTCTGGCAAAAGAAGTCAGAGTAGAAAAGAAAGATTCAGCAATATCTCCTGAGAACAGATGCTGTCTGAGATATTTTGGATCTGAGTTCCACAAAGTGCTGACTTGCAACTGTGAATAGTCTATCATCACAGAACATGCTAACCAGAAGTCTCAGGTAAGTCTGCCAACAGGGTATGAAGGCAGCAAACCCCTCATGCTTTTTTATCAATAACCAAAAACTGAGTGGCAAACTAATTCTGAACTTAGAAGACCTCCATCAATGTCCTGGCCTCTGTTTCAGACCATCATACTTATTGGATTTTGCTGCATTCTGTAGCCATAATTTTTATAAGTTACCCAGTCATGAAACTTTCATATCACACTTCTGTATATTCCACTCAACATGTGATGTCTTTCCCCGGTCTGCCTGCCAACCAAGGTGAAGCAAATGGAGATGATGAACACAGGGCTGATGTGTTTTTTCCATGGTGATGCCAACACTTTCTATGGTGGTACCAACATTCACCTCCTGACTGAGCCCTACCTAGTCTTGCCATTTTAGGTCTTTAAGAATTTGAGAAACATCTAACTCTCCAAAGATGTGCTCTCCTAAGAGCCTCATGTCTAAGCAGGGGCTAAAACCTGAATCTCTAGGCACCCAGTCTAACACTCACGGATGAAGCTCACTGGGTGACTTACTCTCAGTCGAACTCACCTCACAGAGTTATTATGGAAATAAAAATGTAGAGAAAGAAGAGGGTTGTGTAAGCCACCTTGAGTTCCTTACAGGAAAAAGGAGGGTTATAAATATAATAAATCAATAATTAAATTCCCTAATAAATCCCAATCTAGCTTGTCAGAATGGAACTAAGACATACCTTTTTAATGTGGCCTTTAAATTATGAAAAGTGGTTTCCATGTTCTTTCATTTTTGTGGTTGTCATTAGAGGTCATTACTTTTATGACTTTAGTTCTTAACAAGAATTGTTGCATATCAAATATTGCTCCAGTCTCCACCCAGTGCCTCCTTTGTTCCAGAACCTCTGATCAGACACTGGATTCAGCACATGACAACCCAAGCATTGGGGGAAATGGATTTATTAAAAGGTTTTATTGAAAGCTGGATCTGAGTCCCCTCCCTCCCTGGAACACCTGCCACGCTGCTGCTGCTGCTGCCGCCAATGGCTCACACCAACGGAAGACCTGAGGCGCACCGCCGGGCCCAGGGGCCAGCTGACGCCGCTCCCGCAGCCACCGCCGGACCATCCCAGGGCCGGAGTACACCAGGGCCACCACTGCAGCTGAGGAGGGCACCCCCATCTTGCCGGCCACCAAGTTCCCCGCATCCGTCCTTGCACCCCTCCCCCAGCCGCCGTCGATGAGAGCAACGCCAGATTGGGAGCAGGGTGCAGGGGCGGGCCAAAGGGCGGTCGCCACCGTTTGTGGCCATTCATGGCCGTGCGGGGGCTGGGCTGGCGAGGGACACTTTCGGTGGGTGGAATTTTATATCAGGGGTAGATGGGGAGTTTTATATTGTTTATCGTTTTTATTGTATTTTAATCTGTTTTTATGGATTCGTTCCCGGCCATGTCAACGGTTGGGTTACCTGGGGAGCGTGTGGGCGCCGCCATTGGGGTGGTTGTGGGCAATGGACATTACAGTGGTGGGGGTTTAACGTGTCCACCTAGAAGAAGGAGGGAAAGATGGTTGACACCTGTCCCTCCTTCTGGTTCCAGGTAGTCTTGTCAACCGCCCCCCGGGCCTGACAGTGCTGCTGCTTAATGCCAGGTTATTCCACAACAAATCGTCCCTCATCCACAACCTGATTGTGGATGAGGGGGCCGACCTGACTTGCATAACAGAGACCAGGGTGGGAGAGGGGGGAGGATGTCGCCCTCTCTCAAATGTGCCTGCCCGGGTATCTAGTTCAGTACTGTCCATGCCTGGAGGGGAGAGGAGGGGAGTTGCTTTGGTTTACCGAGCCTCCATCTCCCTCACAGGGCTTCCAGTCCCTTCGAGGCTGGGACTAGAGTGCCTCTACTTGGTCTTGGGCAACCGAGACAGACTGGGGATTCTGTTGGTGTAACGTGCATGTTTCTGCCCGACAGACTCCCTGCCTGAGCTGACAGAGATCGTCTCGGACTTGGTGTTGAGGACTCCAGGATGTTGGTCCTGGGGGACTTCAATCTCCATGCCGGGACTGGTCTGACCAGAGCGGCTCAGGACTTCATGGCCTCCATGATGGCCATGGGGCTGTCTCAACATGTCACAAGCCCGACCCATGAACATGGACACACTCTGGACCTGGTTTTCTCAATGGGGCAGGAAGAGGGTGGTCTGAGGGTAAGGAATTTGTGTCTAACACCCCTGTCATAGTCAGATCACTTCCTCGTGAGGTTTGAGCTTGATGGCGGCCTGTCCCTCTGTAAGGGTGCGGACCCAATTGTGCTGCTCCGCCCCCGGAGCCAGATGGATTCGGATGGATTCCTGAAGGCCCTGGGGGAGTTTCCAGTTGACAAGACTGGTGCTCCTGTCGATGCTCTGGCCGAACTACGGAATGGGGAAATGACCAGGGCTACTGACAGGATCGCTCCTAAGTGTCCTCTTCCACTGGGCAGAGCCCACTCATCCCCTTGGTATACACCTGAATTGTGGGCGATGAAGCGGGTTGGGAGACGTCTAGAGCGTAGGTGGAGGAGATCATGGGATGAATCTGACCGAACACACTTAAGAGCCCATTATCGGGCCTATGCTGTGGTGGTGAGGGCGGCGAAAAAGAAATTCGTCTCCGTTTCCATTGCCTCCTCATAATGCCGTCTGGCGGAGCTTTTTTGGGTGGTACAAGGGCTGGTTCATCCTGGCCCTAAGAAAGATCTGGTACCACCCTCGAAGGCCCACTGTGATGACTTTGCCAAGCATTTTAGGGAGCAAATTGCTCAGATTCGCCACAAGCTGGACTCCACTAGTGACCCAGAGGCTTCTGGGGAGATACCAGTGCTGCCGTCTGGTCCAAAATTGATGGATGAGTTTCAGTTACTGCGACCTGATGATGTGGACAAGGTGCTTGGACAAATACGTCCCACCAATTGCCTATTGGACCCTTGCCCATCTTGGCTAATTAACAATGCCAAGCACGGGACAGGGACCTGGATCATGGAAGTGGTTAATGCCTCTCTGAGGGATGGCCGAGTACCTGCCCCTTTAAAGGAGGCAGTAGTCCGACCTGTCCAGAAGAAAGCGTCACTGGATCCAGAGATGGCCACTAATTATAG